TCATGAATTTTTTTTAAAACTTTAATCAATTTAAAAGTCTTATTAACATCCAAAATTAACTTCTTAAACACAATGTAGTGTCCCAGAATTTTTCCAAAGCAGTTCAGACACTCACAGCTTCAAAACTGCGTCAAAAATAAATCCAAGAAGCACTTTTTGGGGTGGAGCCGGCTCCAGAACTTTGGGAGCCGGCTCCAATCAGCCTAGAGCCGGCTCTAATAACCTAGGAGCCGGATCTAAATGTGTGGGAGCTGGCTCCCACTTCTGTGGAGCCGGCTCTCACCTCCTTGAGAGCCGTCTGTCCCTGTTTTGCTCCGTTCCGACCTTCTTCTTCTTTTCCGGTATGTTTCTACCCTTCAGTTGATTCCTAAACCTGGTCCTAAGGGTCTTATTAATACTAAGAAGCATGCTAATGGTTTGATAACACAATTTGGAACAATTATAGAGCTTTAAACAAAGCCATAGAACTTACAGGTTAGAACACAACACTGAACTGATTTACAACACCAGTTCTATTTCACTCCCTCTGTTCCTCTTTACCACTGAACCTAAGGATCTTATATCACCCCAGTAACATCCCAAGGATCCGTTTGCAGTGGTTGAAATCAATTACCAAGCTTAAAGTTACAAGAGAGTTAACACACTTACAAAAATAAAACTGAAACGTGCCATGCAGAAATTGTAACAATTTTTGATTTCAATGCAAACATATCATTTATATAATATATATATTAAACATATAAATCCCAGTTACTGGTTGATTAAACCCTAGAGAATATCTAGGTGCACAGAACACGAACCAAAAGGAAGGAGGAAGAGAAGAACTTGCCTGTACAGACTTTACTTGTTCTGGCAATATAACCCACTGTCAAGCCTCCTCTGATTCTAGTTAGTCCACCACCATACCTCCTTGATCCTCTCTATTCTTCCCTTTACAGACCTTACCATGCTCTGTCCTTACAACCTCTCTCTATTTTCACTCTATATTTCACGGTCCTATTTTACAGGATTCACGTCTATTTTTCTCAAAACCCTAAACCTTAGTTACTGATATTTATAGGGGTATAATAATAACCCTAGCCCATGAATGATTAGAGACTAAACCCTAATTCCACTTTACCAATAATAAAACCCACAGAGAAACAATACTAAAAAAAATAATAATAATAAAAAATAAAACTAAATTAACCCAATTAAAGCAAATACAAAATTAATCCAATTACATAAACAATTAATTCAAATAAATAAATAAAATAAATTAAACATGCAAACAATTAATTAAATAGCTAATTTGACACATAAGCACATAGCCACAAAAATCAACAGACAAAAATGCACATAGAATAAAATTTAAATCCTAATTTTATCATTTTTAAACTAGGAGTATTACATTTAATTCACTAAAAGTAAATATAATTAGAGAAATAAACACATTAATATTTACTTAGTTAATAATAATAATATAGGTAGTAGGAAATACTGAAATTTAATTAAAAACAATAAATCTAATTAGAGAATAAAATATATAATATTAAAAAATCTAATTAGAAAATGAAATACATTATTGAATTTCGATAGTACATAGAGTTTCAGTACATTATTATTATGTTCCAATGTCTCAGTACATTAATATATAATATTAAAAATTATTTATTTAATTTAATAAAAGGAAATCCAATTATAGAAGAAAATATATAATATTAAAAAATCTAATTAGAGAAGGAAACAAATTAATATATAATACTAAAAAATAATTTAATTTAATGAAAAGAAATATAATTAAATAAGAAAATATATAATATTAAAAAACTTATTTATTTAGTTAATAATAATAATATATGTAGCAGGAAATACTGAAATTAATAAAAAGAAAATTTAATTATCTATGATGGGTCTCTGATCCTCGTTGGTGAACATGTTGGCCACGTTATTTTCCACCGATCTAGATTGGTGAAACTCCATGGGTCTGTGATCGTCATCAATGAAGGTGGAGGCCAAGTTTCTGTAACATGGACGGTGGAAAAGAAGACCCAGAAAAAAAAAAAAAAAAAAAATTAAATAAATAAAGCGAAGGACTCAGCTCAGCTCAGCAGCTGACACGTGGGCAACCTGCTAGCACTCATACGCACAGACATTTTGACTGCCTTTTTTTTTTTTAGGTTAATGGTACACATCAAAGGTTGTGCCTTCTTTGGTCATTTCACAAAATTATAATTTTTTATTTAATTTATAAAATGTATAGTAAGGTCGTTTTAGTCAAATTTTACTTTTGCACATGGTGATACTTTAGCGGCGTTTTCCACACATGAATAGTGTGATACACACTATAAAAGAGCTGTAAGAGTGTTTTACGAAAAAAAAAAAAAAAAAAAAAAAAAAATTCCTGATAATTTTGCCATCAGACACTCTTATTGACTACATCACAAGAACTGGTGAAAACTCTTATTGACTACATTACAACAACTGGTGAAAACTTTATACCAAATAGAATAGAGAGAGAGAGATGTATACAACTGCGCATCAATTCAACCTTCAAAGCCAATCTCGGCAATTCAAACAAAAAAAAGAAAAAAAACCATACAAAATATTTAGAAATAGAAATTGCTTAATTCATTTAAGTTAATTAAGTAGAACTAAAGATAAATATCATAAACTGATGTTCCCGAAATATAACAGAAACTTACAATGTGAAGTCACTCGAGCCACAATTCCAATCAAGTGTAGAAGCAAATGAAGTCAACCATTTAATCAAAAAATGTCAACTGAACCTGATACCAAATTAACATCAAGAAATATTTGGATTCCATTCAAATTTGAGAATAACTGGCGGCCTAAAAGGGTGAGAACAAACCTCCTGAAGCAAAAACAATTCTGGGAAGAAGCTTCTACAATTGAGATCTCTAGCAAGACCAATGGTTAGATAGGCTCTTCAAAAGTAGTGAAGTATCCATGTCGGATATGTTTCTCTGACATGGTGGGTATGAGATATGCGTCCATGTACCTCCTGAAAACAGATTATATCTAAAACACCCTTGGGATAGAATTTTTTTTTTTTTTAAATACAAGTATGTAAGTTGTAAAAAAGTAGGATTTGATATGTATTAAAGGTTTTTGTATCTTTTGTTATGATGTACTTTTTATTGTAAATCCACTTAATTGTTCGTCCTCTTTTTTTTTTTATTTTTTTATTTTTTTCAGCATAATTGATGATCTTCAAACCTTTTTATTACTCTCGGACATCTAAAATCTATAATGAAAGTATTTAGCAATAGGATATCTCATTAGCGTATGATGTTAATGTTTTAATTTTGATTGAAACTTGTTTGGAGTCGAGGATCAATTTTAGCTAGTAACATATGCTATGATTTAAAAAAACTGTGCAGTGTCTTACACATTTGTTCTTTGTGCCACTCTCACTGATTCTTGCATGAAACAGGGTAATAGTGTTATATATTCGTCTATTTTGATCACTTAACCTTTAAAAGAAAAAAAGGTCCCATGATTTAGCTAAAATGGGTAAATGAGGCAGAGTACCTTAGTGAAACTTTGTCCTAACCGCTCTTCCTTTATATTGAAGGTACTCTTAAAATAGTAGAAATTATAATTTTTTCATCCTTGATGATGAGTGAATTGATCCGTTTATAACTCAGAATTCTAGACTTCAATATATATCCGTTTAATTGTTTTTTAGGTTGAATCGAAGTAGAAGAGGTGTGAAGAATTGTAGTATTAATTTCAAGGTGGTGGTTGGAGAATCATCCACATACGACATTCCTTTAGTTTTTCTTTTTTGCAGAACGGGTTTGCTTTTCATTTTTTGTTTTTTTGTTTTGATTAACTAGTATGCTCTACAAGGCCATTGACTGCAAATGCCTCAAATCTACTGGACAATCGTCTTTGTTTTGCCCAAAGGAGTCGTCACTGAGCTAAACAAGTTGTTGAGATCCTTTGTTTGGAGGACGGTTTAGGCTTGCCTAACCTTGAAGTCTCTAACAGAGCTTCCATCCTAAGGCACATTTGGGACATTCAGGCTGCAAGTTCAAACAGAATACGGGTTAAGTGGTGTTGACATTACCGGGTGCAAGGGAGGTGCCTTGTATCTCTGAAGATCCCACCAGCTAGAACTTTCATCAAACACCGAGTTAAATGGCTCAGCAGTGGCCCTCTCTCCCTAGACCTCTCCACTCAATCAATTGAGTCTTCAGACTCACGACCTTTGATTCCATAACTCCTATCAACCCTCCAGTCAGACAAAGATTTATTTGCACTTTTAATACTTTATTATTTATCACGTAAGTACTTTCTTTTAGTGGATCGTATCATTACTAGTTAATATTTAATCAGTTTGCGATATCAATAGACAAGCTCGCTTCCTCTGTCGCTAACTCAGCCTCACAAGATAAGTTGGGACTAATAGAAATTCAAAGTGGCTCAGCAATGGCCTTGGGTCCTGCTGGGTTCAATTACTCTTGTTTGGGCTATTGTTTACTTGGCCTTCTTTGTCTCTTTGGTCTGCTTCGGTACACGAAGGCCCATTGTATTTACTATTTTTTATTAATATATTTACTTTACCTTTTGAATTTCATTACAAAAGGACAAATAATTTTTGATTTATTTGTTAAATGCAAAATGTGCTGATTGGGTGTAGTATAATGTTGTTTGTGTGATTAAAAACGCTTTATACCACTATATAAAAAAAAATATAGTGTTGAATGGTTATGTCGAATACATCTCCATCCTTATCTCACTCTTCATCATCTGCTCAACCATAATGCTTTTAGTATGCATTATGGAATTGTGTTTTTAAATTTGGTCAATAGAGAATTTAGATTAGTCATTTGGTTTGAAAAGCAACCAAACTGTGTACAAACTGGTTTCCGAAATTTTATTTTTTATTTTTTTTAGTTTCTGTTTGAATTTGTGAGTGTTGAATGCAAAATTTTTGAAAACGAGATGAGCAGTTCCTGAATAATTTTACCGTTATTTCACTTGCTATATGAATGACCGATTGGACAAGAGGACATGGAAATACATATTTGGAGCTTGCTGTGCTACAACCGTGTTCATTCCCTCCTTCCACAACTACCGGATTTGGTCTTGGCCTTTGTATGGCCACTTACACTGCCTGGGACATGGCCATAGCAGCTTTCATTCACGGCCATGTAATATATACAAACACTCACAATATTATATTATATATATATATATATATCAACTGGTGGAGGAGGAGGAGAATTATTAAGAGGAAAGCAAATGGAAAAGGGCTTTGGATGCCATATAATTTTTTGAAATACAAAATGTTCTGATTGAATGATTTGTACTTAGGATGCTGAATTAGTCTCAAATTACAGTTACAAAGAAATGGAAAAGAGAGACAAAAAAAAAAAGTTCACATACACAACCAATTATTCCAAAATAAAAGCAGAAGTATGATCATTAGTAATATAAAAATATGATCATTGTTCGAAAATAAAAGCAAAAAGTTGATGATTAAATTGCTAATTCTTTTATATATGTTACTTTTGTTTGTTTGTTTGTTTTTAAATTTTTAATTGTTGATTAATTTTATGTGTTTCTTATTAGAGGAGGCTAGCATCAAGAGTCGTTGAGCATTAAGTTTTTTTAGTGTAATTTCAACCATATATTAATTTAACCAAAATAAATATTAAGCATAATATCAAATTATTGCAGGTTCATTTGACGATAGGCTTTTTGACCTTGAAGATCCAGACCAGGTTTTGTTCTCATTTTCAATTGGTTTTGATTAATTCGGTATTTCTCTGATCTGCTCTTCCCATTTTTTCTCTTTTTCAAGACTTTGAAGAAGATGATGGTGGTGGTGACGATGAATAGGAATGCAGAGAGCAAGAGTAAGACCTAGCCCCAAAAAAAAAACATAAGGAAGGTAAGTAGCAAAATTAAATATATAGCTATATGAATTTAATTTCGTTTTTTAATTCTCTTTTTCTCTATTATCATAAAAGTTAATATGATTGATATTAATGAAAAAATATAAACACTTAGGAAACTGATCTTCGAGCAATAGGGCAAAAAAAAAATTAAATAAAAAAATAAAAAAAATAAATTGGTATATTAGTTAACTTATGCTATATTATATAATTCAGTTTCTGTATTTTTTTTATAAAAATCTTCGATTTTTGGAAGGAAATACCAAACAATATTACGGGATTGAAAACTCTTAAACCAGACATAATATCCAACAAGGAGCTATGAAGATGATGAGGAAGAGGAAGGCAAGAACTAAAAAGGTGAAGATTCAAAATTAAATATGTGTGTATATATATATATCACTACTAATTTGAATGTTAAATTGTTTTTTAAAAAAATGATTTTTGAAATGCTATAGGAAATCACATTCACTTTCCATTGAAAAATATAGAAAAGCTTTAAAAAAAAAATAACAAAAAAATCGTGCTCAGAAAGAATATGATTAGGCAAAATGCATGAAAGACAAAGTTATTATTGGAAAACATACTATTATTGTGGTGAAATATCTAAAATAAATAAGGAATTTAATTTTAAAAAATATATAAAATGTTAGGAAATAAAATGCATGTTGAGTGATAATACAAGTTTTTCCTACCTGCACCCTTTTGATAGCCTCAATGATGCCAGTTTTTGTTAAATTCGTTTTGCAATGGTGATAGAGATGATCTAGGAGACAAGAATGAGTGGGGAAAGACAAAAACTTTGCAAAAAGAGAAAGGGACAAAACACTTTGGCAAAAGAAAAGCTAATGGTTAGGTTTTTCTTTATTAAAACATTTTTTTTTTAAATGCAAAATATTCTTATCAGAGTGATTTGTGATTAGGATCATGAATATTCATAGTGCTCCCACTAAAGGGAAGAAAAACTTATTATTGAAAAACATACTGTTGTTGTGGTCAAATATGCTTATATATCTTTGGAGAAATAACATTAATTTTGAACTTGCTACACCTCCTTTAATTATTATTTTTATTTATATTTTTATTTATAAATAAGGAAACTTTGAAATTTTTACAACTTATTTTACATTCTCTTACTTTAACTAAATCTTTGTAGGTCATAGTTAGGATTGCGATTGCCGTTTCCCTTTTTTTTTCTTTTTTTTTTCTTTTTTTTTTATGTGGCTCGTGAAGAAGTTGCATATACATGGAACAAAAAGACTAAAGCAAAATAAGAAGATATGAAGATTTTTTTTTTATTTTTTATTTTTTTTATTTTTTTATTTTTGGTTTGGTTAAGTAAAGATATAAGGCGAAAATGGTTTTTATTTTTATTTTTTTCAAGGTTCAATGTATTTTTGTGAAGTGGTGGTGTGAAAAGATTGATAAGTTCAAGTGTGAACAATTGTAATTTTAAATGCTTTCGTATTTTTTTTAACATATTTTTCTGATCTTCATTGTACAATTGTTTGGTTTCTGAATACATTTACTTACTTTCTATATGATAAAAACATGATTTTTTTTTTATATGAAATTTTTTATGTTAACCACACGTGGCAAAACTCTAGTGTATATATATATAACTTCTTCAACAACACAGAGTTTCATAAATGAGTTTGTAACTTTCTTGCTAAAAAAAACAACAAAATGAACAAATTTAGTGCAACGAAGGTGAGGTGCGTTATTATCATTTGTAGTGTTATACATTAAAAATGAATATTTCGAATAGTGTATGCTAAGAAAAATAAAAAATAGAAACTAATTCAATAAATGATTAAAATATATATATATTTTTTTATATCTTATCTACAATTATCAAGAGAAGCTAAGTGACAAAAATAAAAGAGGACCTAATATGTTTCAATTACCCTACATTTTATTATTTTTACTTGGTGAGGACTCAGTCCAGTCTTGCTAGCTCATCAGTGATAACGCCGATGCCTGTCACTTACAAACAAAGAGAAGGTGAGAATTGGTCTCATAAGAAAAATTATGTGGATGAGAATTGTTTACTTTTTTAAAAAGAAAAAAATACTAACAAAGGGAGTATTAATAGCTTAGCGTGATAGAGATGACTTTTTTTTCAAGTCTAAAAGGGGATCATTGGTCCCCGTTCATTACACAATGACACATAAATAAAAAATGAGTTAATATAAAATCGATGCACTTGCTTATGGATTATTAGTCCGTATGACTACTAAAAAATTTCTCTTATATGGGAGTGATTTTTAAATTATCCAACACTAATGATCCCGACCTCGTGCAAAAGAGGACCACAAGCTTGTAGACAAATTAAGAGGAAGTGTCGCATAAGAAAAATTTTAAGGATGTGAATTAATTGCTTACTTTAAGAACCCCGCCCCCCCCCCCCCCCCGCGGCCGCGGCGACAATATGCCGATTATTAATGGCTTGTGGTGATGCAGAGGACTTTTTTATTACTATTATATTACATTTTTTTTTTCATTTTAATATATGTACCTATAAAATATATTATTGCCCTTATTGAAAAAATTCATAATCCTACTGTTCGTCATGTATTTTTCTGGATCCATCCAGACTTAATGGGTTCACATTCATTTTAGACTCACAAGAAAAGATTGACTGATTGGAATACACACACACACACACACACACACACACACACACACATATATATATATATATATGGAGATTATATTTGCCATCTATTTTTTTCAATTATACTCCATTTATCTTTTTTCTTTTAAAAGAAATGACAAGAATGTCTTTGAATTAATTAATGTATCATTCTTAATTTTTAATATCATAATTACCATTTATACAACTTTAATTTTTTTTTTTTTTTTTACCTTCTTTACTTTCTTTACTACAATTTTTTTACCTTCTTTTCTTTCTTTATTATTATTATTTTCTTTCTTTATTATTATTTTTTTACTTTCCTTTTTACCTTTAAATTACAAATCATGATTTTATTTAACGGTCATGATGATTTTATGGAGGATCATGATTTTATTTAACGGTCATGATGATTTTATGGAGGGTCACGTGACTCAGTGACATCTCCTCTATTTTGTAAAATAAGGTTAGAGTTTCTAAATGAATAAAGTGAACGTGAATGATGTGTGTTAGAATTTCTTGTTAATAGTAAAAAATTAAATAAAATAAGAAAAAACGTTAGGATCCATTTTTCACTTATATCCATAATGGTGGGACAATGGACCGCAGGCTGGAATTGGGCTCCATAAGCCTGTTTTTTTGCTGTGCTTTTATTCAACAAAAATAAAGCATCTTTTTCACTTTAATTAGGAATTATATATATGAATCCATTTAACCATTTCCTTTCTCATGATTTGGCTGCTAGGTCATGTACGTATCAGAAGAGCATCTTGACTCTGACGACCAATATAATCATGAATTTGTGGTGATTTTTTTTTTTTTTTTGGTGAGTCTAAAATGAATGTGAATGTGAACATAGTCGTCTTAAACAAATAAATATTAATTAAGATATAGCATCTTGACTCTGACAACTAATATAATTATGAATTTGTGGTGATATTTTTTTTGTGAGTCTTAAATGTGAACCCATGGCCGCCTCAAACGAATATATTATCTACACTGACCAGAAGAAGACTAGGCTACAAATGCAATAAAAAGACAAAAGAGGACCAATCTTGTTTGAGCATAACCTTGGGTCACTTATTTTTAGTGTCGCCTTCAATGACTGTGACTTACATTTCGTCTCAAATTTAATTTCGTTCCAAATTTAATATCGCCTTTGATAATTATGATTCACGTTATCAAAAGCAGCATTAAATTTAGAATGAAAAAAGTATTTTCATATGCAGAGCACAACAGAGCACCATTGGTGAAAATTATATAAAAAATTATTACGTTGCTTTGAAATTATTGATATTAAATTATCTATTAATTAAAAAATAAATAAATGTGTCAATTTTGTGACTTTATTAAATTTTTTATTTATATGTTAACTAATAATTCATGGGACCAATGACTTCACCTCTATGTAATAATTTCTTAAATTATAGTATCGTGTGCCGTTGGATTTTTCCATAAGGTATGTGACAGTGTTGTAGAGAGTACATTTTGACCACCTATAATATTTTGTTGTCCGAATCTTGTAAATATGGTGAGTATAAATTATTGAGTTCAGTAAATTAAATTCTCAAATTTTTAATGTACTAATTGATTTTATGTTCAATATTGTTTTGGGATG